TAGTTTCTTTTGATGTTTGTTGTGCAGTTAAAGCTTGTGTTTTCAATTCATTTTCCACCATTCTAATTGTCTTTGGAATTTACTTCTCTCTTACAGGAAAGCGTTGAAGCCACAGCTGAAGTTTCAAAGACATTCAATGAAAAAATCAGAAAGCATTGCGATATGACTCTGCTTTCTTGTGCTTATGCAGGAACGGGCAATGTTCTTAAGGTAATATTTTAAGGCTGCTTAATTCTCATTTGAGTTCTGTGACATGTATTAAGTTGGGAACTCTTCTCTCATGCAGGTTCAAAACCTTCTCGGTCATTGTTCACAACATCTTGAGAAGAATGAAACTCACCAAGGACCTGCTGTGCTTGGAATTGCTATGATTGCAATGGCTGAAGAATTGGGAGTTGAAATGGCAATTCGTTCGTTAGAGCATCTTTTACAGTATGGAGAACAGAATATCCGTCGGGCAGTACCTTTGGCTCTTGGTCTCCTTTGCATATCAAACCCAAAGGTATTAACCTGGTTAGCTGAGCATCTTTGATATCTAATGATGTGGTTGTTTATATGAGTGATTTCCTTCAAATTTATCCCTATTCAAATCTGGAATCAGTTTGGAGAAAGTTAAAAGCCTTTAAAAGCAAAACTTTTACCTTCAATGCTAGCTCAACTGTCCGGGAAATCTAACTATTCATGTCTTGTGAGTTGGAAAAAACATGGAACAGTAATTTGTGCAAACGAGTTGTAGTTCTTTTTTACGCTTATCTTTACATCTGGTGCTGGTAATAGTGCAGGTTCTGAAAGAGTTAAAGGACTACTGGTATATCTTTCATTGACTTTTTGCCTTTTCTCACTATTTTGTTAATTGGGTATTTTTACCAGGTCAATGTTATGGACACATTAAGCAGACTTAGCCATGATACAGATTCAGAAGTAGCAATGGTAACATATTACAGCAAGCTTTATCTCCATTATTCACATGGTTTCCGAGTTGATAAGTCTAACGTTTTATTGGATAATTCAGGCTGCAGTGATTTCCTTAGGTTTGCTAGGTGCAGGAACCAACAATGCTAGAATAGCCGGCATGCTTCGCAATCTTTCAAGTTATTACTACAAAGATGCCAGCCTTCTTTTCTGTGTAAGACATCTTATGAGTCCTGTCTTTTTGTTCATTCATTTTCCCTTGGAGTTTTCCAGTGTGCATTTATATTCTTTGGCCACTGTTGCAGGTGCGAATTGCTCAAGGTCTTGTACATTTGGGAAAGGGTTTATTAACTCTAAATCCATATCATTCTGATCGCTTCTTGCTATCACCGTAAGTAACTTTGTTGTGGGAAAATATTCCAACACTCGTCATGAAATGGGCCTTTCACATCTTTACTGGCTTCCTTGTTTTACTCTTAACTTCTATATATTATCTCTTTGCTTGCAGGACGGCTCTTGGTGGAATCATAACCTTGATGCATGCATGTCTTGATATGAAAGCCATCATTTTGGGGAAATATCATTATGTTCTCTACTTTATTATTTTGGCTATGCAGGTTGGTGTCTGATCACCGTCTTTTTTATATTTTCACCCCATTCTAGCATCACATTTTATAAAAAAGGCCCTTTGAGTCCAATACTTTAGAAAAACTCCATGTTGTACTTTCAAGTGAAAAAATTGTGACACTAAGAACCAATTAGAAAATGACTAGTGACTAGTTAAGGGTTTTTTTATTTTTTTTCTCCAAATAGGCTCTCTTAAGAGTTTTTGCATAAAATATCATTCTAGAATGGGCCTGTTTGTGAAAAGCCCATCTTTTTTGAATGCTGCCTGCTCATGGTCGTTTTGTAATTATTTTATTGTTCGTGTGCTAGCCGAGAATGTTGTTAACTGTGGATGAAAATCTCAAGCCATTGTCTGTCCCTGTTCGAGTGGGCCAAGCTGTTGACGTTGTTGGTCAGGCTGGTCGTCCCAAAACAATCACTGGTTTCCAGACCCACTCGACACCCGTTCTTCTGGCTGCCGGTGATAGAGCAGAGCTGGCTACAGAGAAGTACGAATTATTCCCTGTAAAGTTCCTCTGTTTGACTACTTGTTTGATCACTTGACACACTAACAATTGTTTTTATGCAGGTATATCCCCCTTTCTCCCATCCTGGAAGGGTTTGTCATCTTGAAAGAGAATCCAGATTACCGGGAAGATAACTAGTTTTGCCAACCATGACATTTGCCAAACTCGTCTCACTATGTATGCATTCTGGTTCATCATGCAAGTCCGGAGTCCGTGCGAAGACCAGCTTTGGGCTTTTAGGATTGAATTCGGATGCAGCTTGGTTCCAGCCTTTGTATTCTTTTGTCACCCTGGAGTTAGCGCATCTGTGGGAGTTAGATGAAAGCGCATATTTGAATGCAGTGATGAGGAAAATGTGAAATGGCTGTTCAATGCCAAAAAATTTCATGGAAGCATTTATGTAACTTATCTTCAGTAACTGATTGTAATACGGTATCATTTAGATTTGTTCTTTTTTTCGGAGCGCGCTATTACAATCTGTTTTTCAAGCCTTCATTTATAAGATGTTACAAAAAAGTAGACATTAGAATTGTGACCCACAGAAGACAAGCACGGTATTTAAGAAAATACTAAAATGATATTTTTAAATTATTTTTCGGCTCAACTTCAATGTGCCCAGAAAGCTATATATTTTTTTGGCTCAACTTCAATGTGCCCAGGGTGAATAGAAAACATCTAAACAAACAAGTGATTCACATTTTTCAATTATTTTTCTTTTTCGCAAAAGTTTATTTTTTGCCGATTTTGTAACTTTGGTCCTTGTAGTTTTAATTTTGTGAATTTTATCATTGTAGTTTCAATTTGGAGCAATTCAAGTACACGTTTCAAATTCTATCAAATTCCTCCAATTATGTTAACTTTTGACCAAGTGCTGCCATCTAATAGTAAAACACAAGCTGGAGCTCTTCTTTTTCACTTTAAGTGTGATTTAGGGATTTAGAGTTTCAAAAAAAAAAAATGCATCTTTGGATTAAAATTTGGGTGAATTTGGAAGAATTTGGCTCGAGTGCATGAAATTATCTTGCTATGTGAGGTCGAGGTCAAAACTTAAAGGAATATGGAAGAATTTTAATAGAATTGAAATGTGTTCTTGAATTGCTTCAAATTGAAAACTACAAGGATAAAATTGATAAAATTGAAAACTACGAGGATAAAATTGAAACTATGGGGAGCAAAGTGGTAAATTTGGCAAACTACAGGGATCAATATTGATTTTTGCCTTTCTTTTATTTTTTAAGTTACATGTGAGTGTTTTTAAAAAAAAAATTATCACAAGTGGCCCCTAAACCTTTTTTTTTTTAGAGTACAAATGATCATCTAGACTACAGAGGAGGGGGATTTCTCACACACACACACACAACTATGATATCGTGGGAATTTGAACTAAAGATCTCTAGTTTACAAGTCAAGACCCTTTTCCATTGAGCTAGACCCCGTTGGCCCCTAAACATTTTTTTTAAAAGTCGTCTTTCTAGTCCAATTCTCGAATCAATCAATGTGATACTTAATCTTTTGATCTACGTATCAATTGGTCCTCACTATCGCATCCGCCAAAACTTTTGTTAAAATTGGTCACATAACCAACTTTAAAGGAGTATTTTCATCAAAATATAGCTCATCCACCAACGAGATAAAATAAAATTCACATTCTTTTGCTCAATGAGGCTATCTACTCTCCATTTAGGGTTGAGCATAATACCTAATCTTTTAGGTGGATAGGTTTTATTTTGACAAAAAAACAACTCTTTAAAGTTGGTCATGTGCCATCAAGTGACCAATTGTAATGAAGGTTTTGATGGACTAGCCGAGAGGGACCAAATTGTTGTGTGGACCAAAAGATTAAGAACCATATTGATTAGTTTGAAAGTTTGTGGACTTAAAATGAGGACTTTTGAAAAGTAGAGAGACAGCTCGTGATAAAACCCTATTACTTATGCGCTTATCCACAAATAAATGTTATCGGCAAGAAAAATTCTACAAATAAATGTCTAGGGCAAGTACGTAATAAAATTTAGTTAAGTTCTTTAACTATGTTGTGATTGGAAAAAAAAGGTTATTTCCATGTGTAGTAGGAACATTTGGTAGCACCTCCCAAGTAGGAACATTTGGTAGCACCTCCCAAGTAAACTTTTGAACGTACAAGTAAATGAATAAGGACTCGTTTGAAAGTGATTTTGAGAGGGCCAGAATAACTTTTGGAGAGAAGCACATCCCACGTGTTTCTCCGTATAATCATTTGAATTTATTTTAGGGTGCTCTATACAATTACCCTAAAACCACTTAAAGTGATTATATGAATAAGTGATTCTCCATAAAAGTGATTATTGGCCTATTCAAAATCACTCCCAAGCGAGTCCTACATAATATAATAGGAAGAAAAGACGACCAATTCCCCCAAATTTTCTCTTGCCCTCACTTTTGCTCACTCATTGGCATATGTGCTCTTTTTTTCATATGCCGAACGTTTGAGAGACGCTACGGCTAGAATTTGGTTTACAACAATTTAGGGAAATAACCAACCACTTTCTGGCTCTCTGCAGGCAAACCCTCAACACCTAAGGTTTATCAAGCCCTCTTGAACTTAGATCAATTCTCCTGTGCAGCCATCGATGCCTTGCTCTCTAGGAGTGGTTAATTTATTCGAAACTGAGTCTTAAAAATCATCAAATCTAGTCCTTTCTTATAAACAGATCGGGTCAGAAAAACTCATGTGCAGCCTTACGTTCTGTTCATTAGTTCACAAGGAATTAGCATTTCATGCACAGTATATAGGTCGATAGGCCAATGAGGGAAGCAAGAGTATCTTCAGGGAGTAGCTCAAGAAGGAATTCGAGACTATAAATATCAATTCGGATAGAAGTGTAAGACTTGCTAAAGACGTGCTCAAGTAGAACGCATTTACTCAATGACCTTATCTGAGCCTAATCGAATGCATGCAAATTGGAGAAAGGAATAATGCACTAATTCTTTTCCCATACAATTAACAATATGATGTTAAAATACTTCATTTTGAACATATGTAGCTGATCAATCTCCTGTGCAGGACTAGGTGCAGAAACTAAGCCTTCAAGAAATAAAATGAGAGTAAAGAAAATGACGTCTTCAAGTTGTCTACGGCACAATTCAGTCCACATTCAAATTTGGACACCATTGCTTTCTATCCGATTGCAGAAATGCCCTGAAGTATCAGTCAATGCCCAGCAGTGAGAATGTGATCAAGATTGTCGCTTTTGCTCATCTTCTTCATCATCTGAGTCGCCACTCTCACGAAACCTTGGATTTTTCTCCTGTTGGAGAAAATAGATTGTGCAACATAAGGGAATGAATAGAAAATGAAAGATGAAAATAAAATTAAAATAAGAAAAGCTAATGTCATTTCTTCTTCTCTAAAACAAAAGGTAAGTTTTCGACCAAAAAAAAAAAAAACACAAAAGGTAAGTTTGTCCTGTCCTATGTTCTTGTAGGACATTTAACTAGTAAATAGTACAATTGCCACCTTGTTGTCATTGCAATCAAAAAAGAGGAAAGAGGAACATCATTGAACATTTAACCTGACACTCTTTCAGCCACAGAGATGACATGGCATACTAACAGGTTGGCAATTGAAACATATAAAAATTAAGAGGATGCAAGAAGAATTGGGACGAGAATTGTTAGAATTACCGGTCTAGATTCGTGATCAGAGTTCTTTCGGGATTCATAATCCGAGTTTCTCTTTGAGCTCTCATATGAGTGGTGGTCATCATCTCGATGTCGTTTCCGATGATAGTCACCTTTGCGAAATAAGTTTCAAATTAAATCAGTTGTAAAAAAAGAAAAATGTAAACAACAAAATGGGCTGAAACAACTACACCAATCATAGAAATGTTTTTAACGATAGATACCTCTACCAGGCCGATGAGTACCCCCATGATTATGGCCTCCACCATGTCTACCATCTGAATGATTAAAAAGTAAAAATAAAAAAAATCAGAGAGGAACTGTCATGTATATTAGACTAAACTCTAGTTCACCATGGCAAACAGTTAATTGCAGCATCTCAACAGGCTCATTAATAAAAGCCCTGTCGTCCGTATAGAAAGTTGCACTCATTCCCAATTCTGCATATGAAGCCAATGTGTACGTTTTCCAGCACTAAATTGTACTTCAAATTAATATTCAACGATAGGAAAATTTAAATACAAATAGAAGATGGACAGAAGGAAAGTTTCTTCAAACAATAATTTTGTTGCCTATTCAAATTTGTCAGATAAGAATCACTAAATGCAAGAAAAATGAGAAATAATTGAGTGACATTTCAATCACATGTACACTAGTGGAAAGACAATAATTGAGGTGACTTTTTAATAACTAAAGGAGGCATGCCCAGATTATTCTAATCAATAGCTGTTGTAAAGACAACCTGGGGGCCTTGCCTATTCCTATAAGCTCACAACACAATGCAAGGTTGGTTGACCTAAAATTGTTCCTATGCGATTTCAGCTTATAAAGCTATGAAATTTCCCCTCATATCCTACTTCCACTTTCCATCTAGATGCTTGACGAAGGATGCAGTTGTGAAAACCAACCCAGAAAACCCTAATGCAATGACATATGCAGAGACAAATAATCCAGAAAATAAGCCAAATCTCTTGAACTACACAAACTGTTTCTGAGTAACTTACAGTGAGGTGGCATGACTGGAGGGAAAGTGCCCAAAGATCCAGTACCATAATCTACTAGCGTTCTCTGAGCTTCTAACTCTCGTTGAACTAATTTACCATATCCACCTCTGCGTATAACATGTTAAGGAAACTAAAGAGCAAAGCTTTTTCATCTCACATTCAACAATGTAGATTAAAAATCCATCAACCATTCTGTTTTTAGACAGCAACGTTCTTTCTTTAAATAGAAAACATTTCACATTCAAGAGAAACACCACAAGAACCAGATCGACTTTAAATTTTATTGCACAAGCAAATTCTAGGAATAAATTCTCATAAGAAAGAGGTGATATAATCAGACTAAAAGACAGATCAAAGTTGAAGCTGGAAATAGCTAATCAATTTATATCCTCTTTCTTATGAGAGAGGACATAGGTGTCTAGATTTGATGGTCGCACAGTAGTGCCATTAAGTACCAAATGATGAACTAATGTCTGTCCCATTCATAATCTAAAACTGGCCTCTTGACACACGTGAGAGCGTGTGCCATGTCTCACTCTCATGTGTGCCATGGGCTTTTTCTATTGGATGCGCATCAATTTTTTAATCGATCATTAAATTACTATCAAGGTAATACATTTATAAATGCAACAGAAACTTCACCAATGTGCAGAACAAAAGCACAAACAATATTACCATGCGGATCTTGGAAGAGGTTTCTGTTTGGAGAATACTCAACATAACCCTGGAATAAGGTTCATCCTCATCCCAGTAACCAATAAGACAAATTTCTTATGAGTCATGCGTGCCATTAATGACAGAAAATAAGTGGCTCATATAAGAGGGGAGAGGAGAATACAGGGCCCTATCATCCTTCATATCTTAGAAGAGGAAAGCATGTTTAATTTTGTAACAGAAGAGGGTGGAGGAAAAAAATTATGGAGAGATAAAAAGGAGAAGTTGTAAATATAAAGCTTCAGTTTGAGAAAAAAAATTAGAAATTGAGATAGTGGAGTGTTAACTGTTAACCAAAACTAAAGTGGAAGTGTTTTTTCTTTTTTTCCTTTAATTGTGTTTAGTTATTTATTTTACCAATTTTCCCTGAATTATATTAAATTGTTTTCTATAGAGTTTTAGTTATCAAAGGGTACTTGATGGGATTTTAAAACGGATTCTCTATAAAATTCTTTTTACTTTTTCTGGCAATCCTGATATCCACTATTTAGTCTCTAAGTAGAACATACAACCTTACACAGTTACGAAGCACATACAATCTGCTCTACCTACCACTTCTTATAATTCCCAATTTTGTGAAACAGAAACCCTGGTATCAAATGAATTTAAATATAAATTGAATGCAAAGACAAGCAAATATATAATTTTAAAACGGATTCTCTATAAAACGGATTCTCTATCTAGAATTGCCAGAAAAAGTAAAAAGAAAGAAGCTAGGACTCCCTTTTAACCTCAGGGGAATCAGCAATACCATAATTTATTGACCATGCTGAAGAAAGCTTTTCCATATATTGAAATCAAAAGGATATCAGGATCATAATCAGTACGATATTCATCGCGCACCTGTAAAACAGAAAAAAAAGATTAAATCAAAACAATCAGAATGGTACATTTTGGCCAATTACAGGAAGGCATAGTAATGCACCTGTCCACCACTTCGCCCTCGACCCCATTGCCTTCCTTCTTGGAATCCCCAATCAAAATCCACACGAATAGGACGATCATCAAGAATAGTCCCGCTAATATATTTTACAGCATCTTCAGTGTCCTCTCGAGAGTAGTATCTGTTAACAAATGCATATACATTAAGAATCTAACTCTCAGAAGAAAAATATGTAACTTTCACTATTCTCAAGATAGAAGACCAATGTACAAGCTACGCATATCTTGAAAAAGAACACTAAGAAATGATAAACAACTGAAGCATAATAGAATCAATTTTAAGTATAAAACATGAAGAACTTCTCCTAATAAATCGAAACATCAAACAATTTGGTGCAGGTACAATGTGCACTGCTACAACATACAATCATAGTGACTTGCCAGCCATAGTTTAAGCAACAGCATGAATGGAAAGTGGTGCACTCCCTCTCTTTACTTGAACAATCAAATCCAAAAGAAGTACTCATGTCCCACACATTTAAATAAGATTGACTTGTCAGAAAATTTCAAGACAGAGAGAAGGGAAATATGCCTTTCATTTATCTCAAAACATGAAACTCAAGAAAAGATGCAAATGTTCTCCATCAAAATGAAACAAGCCATATCATATTCAAAGCATCTCAAGAGTCAGAATGCATATACAGTCAATCAGCAGAGAAGATTCAGTGGCGAAAACAATCAGCAATGAAGACAGTTAAACGTATATATGCGTACAATTTTGATTTGCTATTGCCAATGAGCATGATCTTCATGCTGACCAACTGTCAGATAAAACCCGTGCCCAATATTCAAATCCTGATAAAGTATTTTCTTATCAGGATGAATGTCAGAAATTCGAATTTGATCCAATGGTTGGGGAGCATGAATATTTGTGCTCAGCACTAGGTAGCAACGGTATATACATTACTTCAACATAGGGTGATATGTGAGGTAAATGAAGCCAGTCAGTTTGACTCTACCCACTAAACCGTTTCCCTTTCAAGAAGTTCAAAATATGAAGAATGAAGCTTACAGGACAAAACAAAAACCACAAGGCGTTTTGGTATTTTTATCCAAGCCCATAATTATCTTCTTAATCTCTCCAGCACGAGAAAAAAGCTCATAAACTTGCTCTTCTGTTGTGTAGAATGACATATTCCCAATATAAACAGTCGTTGATGCCAGGAGTGCTTGTTCAAATTCCTCCTGTGATCCAGGAAATCTTCTATCCCGATATTGTGAAAGCTTCGATTGATCCTAATAAAAAAAGAAAATGATGAAAGATGAGGTAAGTGCAGAGAGGAATAACAGTTATAAAATGCATGTTGGATCACAAAGGATAAGCTGTATTTTCATCAGTATTTCAAAGTGAGACTTGAAGTACCATACAATAATCTGGCAAACTTAACAAATGTGTAGATGTACAATATGGCCACTGGAGTTCCCTTTTTTTTTCTATAATAGAAACGGTTATGAAAATAGAGTAAAATGAATCTAAGAAATCATAATGAAAAAAACTCAATCAGTTCTTAAAAAAAATTCACAGCACATGTACAGGGTACTTGAACAAGAAATAAACAATTCTGGTTAAGTAATTACTATGAACAAATCTTTTTAAACATTTTACAGAACTTCTCTAGCATTCACACATTTGATTGATTTGAACCAAATCGAAAACCACAGCTTTTATACGACGACATCTTTTTAAGAAAAGAAAAAGGCAGCTGAATGACCATGTATCATAAAATGGAAACTCCAATATATTTGGCTCGACAACAAGGAAAAGAGAAGATAGAACTTAAACATTCCCTTTTGCACTGTCTAGTTCTCAAATAGAATAAAATAAAAGGGGTGGGGTGGGGGCTTAACTTCTAATTTCCATCTCTCACCAACCATGAGTTTCTTTTCTTTTTTTCTCTTTTCATAATATTATCTCCAGCCCTCATATTACCAAATGGAATATTATACACCTTCCTCCTCTTCATTTATAGTTATTGAAAGTTTACATTGCAAACTGAAAAGAAAAACCTAGTGCACTGACTTGGATTTTTCACTCCATCAGACAGAAACTTGACACTAGTACTAAATTAAAGTCCAAGTTGAGAAGCAGATCAATAAAATCCAAGACTAGTTTACCTTGAATAAAGAAGCCATCACCGTCTGCAACTGAAGGCAAATCAATGAAGTAAAAGTTGGAAAATAATTTCCTGAGTTTTATCAAATCTGCACCAGAAACGGAAACCCACAACATCAATAGAATGGAGAAAGCCAACAAAATAGGATATTGAATGAAAAATACAAAACATTCTAGCACCCAAAATATATATTAACATTCTGTAAAACAATTGCATGAATGGTGTTATTTCAAGCTTGTTCCTTGAAACCCATTGGTTAGAAATACTTCATTGAAGCAATTTAAACCATTTTATGTCACAGTAATCAAGTAAAATTGCAGTGCTTGAGAATATGGATTTGCACATAAAATTAGCTACAATGCCACACACCAAATTACCTAGCTGCCTGAAAAATTGCCTTCAACCCTAAAACACTAGACCAGTAGACACCAGATTTAAGAACAACCATAGCTTTACAGAAGCTAGAGAGAGAGAGAGAGAGAGTACCAGGGAGGCAGCTTTGGCCCCGGTGGAAGCGAGAATGGGGTTTTTGTTTTTCTTTCGGAGCGAGCGAGAGTGGTTTCGAAGCGTATTTTTCAACTTTCAGCTTCCGGTTCGAACCGGGTCACATAATCGGATCCTATACCCGCTTCGTTTTTTTTTTTTTTTTTTTTTTTTTTTTCCCCAAAACCCTAAAGCCAA